TCAATATGTAAGAGTTAGCCAATAAGAGGCTACAGAAAATGGGCCAGGCAGTGTTTAAATGAATATAGTTTCCATGTAATTATTTCAGGTGTAAACTAGCCAGAGCCCGGTGGCAGGAACGCGGCCTGCCGTTCCCTTTACAGGTGTTCATCTTTTTCCTCTAGTTAAGTGTACCTCCCATTACTGTGAACATTAGTGCATGTGGCTACAGGTTCTAGGTAGGCACCAGATCCACTTCTCTGTGTTCAATGAGTTTTATAGGTGTTGTATTCAATAATAAGGTTTACCATTTGTTTGGGGACTTCCATGGAACTCCTTCAGCCTACAACTCAGTTAGATCTGACCCATTCCTGGTACTAGAAATCTTATTTGGCATCAAGGACCTCAATCTCCTCCATTATTTGGAAATTTAATTTAGATAACTTTCATATTTGTATATATTTTGGGAAGGTTTTAATGAATTAGGTTTCCATACAACCCCTCCAAATAGTCACTCTATTAATATTCTCTAAATCTTTGCTTTGAAATCAACTTAGTCTTTGCCATATTTCCTTTGAGTGATCACCTTTTCTTCTTTTTCCTTTTCATCTATCTTCAATGATTTCACACTGAAAAAACTGAATCTACCTAAAAGTCTCTGTCACTGAGATCTAGCAAAGTGTCCCTTGCTGTAAATGTCATCCTATGTTGAATCCCTGGCTAGAATGGAGATGATCTACATAGAAACTCCAAACTCTACCACTTGTGTATCAGCATGTTACCTGAACACTTACAAAATTCGTAGTTTTGACAGGTCCAGAAGAGTAGGGAGATCATGAGCTCCTCATTCATGTTTGAACATACCAAAATACCATCCACTCTCAGTTTTCCAATAAGTTGATGAAGCAACCACAGCATTTTCCACATCAGCAACAGTAAGGATTTTATGCTTAATGGTATCTGTAGTGTACTAGACAATGAATACAACCTAATAATGTCCCTAGATGTACACTGTTAATATCTCTAACATTCCCATCCATATGTGATGTATTCCATATTCACGACTTTGGATAACTCTTTAAATTACAGAAGGCATTGAAGTTGTAATTAAATTAGATAAATTTTTCTTCCTTACTCAACATGTTTTGCAGACTAAAATTGATCAATCTATTTTCTGTTATCAGTTTGTTCCCCAAATATTTTGCAAATAAGGGGTAAGTAGAGAAAGACAAGGTCTCCTGAGTAAATTGGGAGCATGGGGACCTATGGGAGGGGAAAGGCAGGAAGGGGAGAAGAGAAAAATGTAGAGCTAATAAAAATCTATTTAAAAAGTGAAAAAAAAGAAAATAAGGGGAATAAACAAAGTTATTTATGGACTTGGATGTGCAGCAGGAACAAAATTTTGATTTGGTGTTCCTAGTGCTTAAAATGGATGAAATGCTAACTGCTGAAATATTTTCCCTGGGTTCAATCTCTCTCAAATGTTAGTTGTCTATAACACATATATTTTTAAAAAATTGGGCTGGAGAGATGGCTCAGAGGTTAAGAGCATTGCCTGCTCTTCCAAAGGTCCTGAGTTCAATTCCCAGCAACCACATGGTGGCTCATAATCATCTGTAATGAGGTCTGGTGCCCTCTTTGGCCTGCAGGCATACACATAGAATATTGTATACATAATAAATAAATATTAAAAGAAAAAATTGAAGAGAATGGTAGCTTCTGAATTTGAGATGTAAATTCTTATTATTTTATTTCTTATCAATGAACATTTAACTGTGTAATTTCATGAGTTACAGAGTCCACAGAGAACCCTTATAGCTAAATATATGAACTCATGGTGTTCATACATGTACTTATTCCAATTAGTTTGGTTATTTGACAAAAGTATTCACATTTGCTCAACAGAAAACTCACTTTCTGTATTGTTTCATGTAACAGATTTTTATATTTATTTGTTCTGATTTCATTTTAATCTCTATTTCCGCATTAAAGTTTGGAGTCATGTGACATGACCTTGTAATAAATCATGTGAGGAGATAAAGTATGAAGTTTAAGTAGAGGATCAGGTCCTCTTTTAAATTTATTGTGTGATCAACATTTGAACATATTTTGAAACTCTCTACACTTTTAGGAGCATTGAGAAACAGTTTAGGACTCTAAACTAGAATTCTAGAAGAACTGCATTTCTGAGAGGATTCCTTGTGGCAAGATGTTATTCCTTTTGGGGTACACGGTTGGATAGTTACTCAAGTGTAGAGATCAGCTCTCAATTGCTATGTGGAGAAAAAAGAAACGACCTTTGTAAGCACAAACATGGTTATGGTGAGTGGTGCGGGAGAGACGCCTCTGTGTCTCCTAAGACTGTCTCTTCTCCTGACTGAAGTGCAAACCAGAGAGGTTGACAAGGACCAGAGCAACAGTGACTGAAGTGAAAACTGAGCTTCTAAAGGGCTCCTGAGGAAGGATGTGTAAAGAAAAGAGGGTTCCAGAAAGAAGTGTTTGGATAGCTTGGAATGGCTTCAAAGCAAAGTCTCCAGGGACAGGTTGGTGGAGGGATATATGTGTCTCTAAAGACTGAGATGTCAAGAACACAGTTCCGTGAAAGAGAGGAAGTGATCCAGGTGTTAGTAGTGAACCTGTTGCTGTGGGTAAGGAGATGCCATCTGTAGGAGCCAATACACACATTTCATTTGGAGAATGGTTGCTATTGCTAGCATATATGGGCATAAAACACTGCCGACTAGATGCCCCCACCATAAAATTATGGATGTAATGACTCTATCAATGAGCTGATTGCTGCTGTTTTGGTAAACATTCACCTAACTGAGTGTAAATTCTCGACAACTGTGGAATTCTTCAGAGATGGTAAGCAGCAGAATATAGATATAGACATAACAACATTAAAATGACATGGATTTGGTTTTAGCTAGGCATGGGTAATTATGACTACCAAACATCATAACATGTAAAATTTATGATAATTGATGTGGCAATATGTCTAACCTGTTCAAATGCAGGATGTGTGCTAGTGTTGGGGAGAATTACTTGTGGAGATGAAACTATGTTGAACTTACGGTATTATGGGAAATGAGAGTCTTTCGGTAAGAACATTGTTCTCCCAGCTCTGAAACCTTTCAGCGGACATGCATGGCTGATAAGTAAGATATGGCCACAGGGTCAGCCTGGAGCCAGTCAGACATAAGAAGGCGGTGATGTCACACACTTCTGTGTAAGGGAATGGACCCTGTCCCCAATTTACCCCAGTACAGGACAACCAGTGAGAGTCTACTTTACAAAGATTGATCAATGGCCTTACAAAATTGCCTCAAGATGACGAATATTAATGTTTCATCACGTAGTGAACTAAGTGATGAAATTTGCTAAAATTCCATTTTCTTTGATATTATGAATATTATTAAGAAAATCTATCCCTTTCCTGACGTGAAGTTTAGTGTGGTTCATACTTCAAGAAGACACTTAAGACAGCAAGACAGGTGAGACAGCTGGTCATACTGCTTCCAGGATCAAGAAGCTGCAGGGTACAATATTGTTGCTGACATCCCCTAGTCCTTGTCGTTCCATCCGGGCAATTCCTTGCCACTGAAGTAGCCAGATAACAAATCTTTCTGAGGGTAATGTCTAGAGCTTTGTCTCTAAAATTATTCCTAGTCTGTTGCCAGTCTACATTAGGGGTCACAACTTTAATCACTGGGATGCATGATAAAGTGGAGTGGAAAACATCATAATCAGAACTTCAGACAATAATAATCCTTCACCGGGAGAGGACAAGAACTACTAAACTGTGTAAACAGTAGAGAAGTTCTGCACCATAGCCTCGTATGTTATTCTTAATCCTTTTAATTTAAAAATGAATATGAACATACTGACAATGTATTTCTTTAGCTAAATAAGGCAGTGTGGGGCATATGTTGTTTTTTACAACTTTGTACTTTGGAGGATACAAGTGAAATAACTACTGTGAGTTTTCATTATTTATCATACCTTAATAATAGGAGCTTTGCTTGCTTACTTGTTTAATGTTTCAGGAAAATACTCAACTCAATCCAATGTTCATTTGTTTGCTGCAGATAAAACTGGGCATTCGTTGAGTCTGATAACTAACTATCTGTAGGGTTCCACTGTATGAAGGTAGCATCTAATATTGTACAGATTTGGAAGGCCATGGGCAAGCGAAGATGGCAATTAGCAATTTGAAAGCAGTTATCTAGCATGGTTGGAAGAAGTATTAGCTTAAATCTCAAGGTTACTGAAATATTTCATGAATTATTTACTTTGTTTCCTATGACCTGTAAAACAGTGGGGCTCCATTGGCCATAAAATACAGAATATTGTCAGTGAATCGGATGCAAACAATATTAAATATAAGAGACTATGTAATGAGAAGCCACATGTGCTGAGACAGGTGAAAGGTTTCAAAGTTACAGTTGGGTTTTATAGTATTATGTGGTACTATGATGGCCACTGCTGGGAAGTGTCTCTAAGAGACTTGCTCAGTCCAGGAGGGCCATTACCAACCCAAGCCAGATACATAGATTCACCTAAGAGTGGCGACGCTGCTACAAGAACACACAAACATGTTGGAATTTGATTGAAGCACAGTTTTATAGGCTTTGCCTACCTTTATAATTTACAGGAAACAGAAGAATTATCAGAGAGACTGTGTATGTGACATGAAATTCGCGAGATTCTTCATGGCTCAGAAACAGCTCTGATGATTTACAACATAACATGAACCCATAGTAATGACCTAACAACGAGGTAAATACTACCTATGTACCTAGGTTGATCATTGTTGTAATGAGGCTATTAACTAATGATAGGTGAGAGTAATGGTGTCCTCAACTTGAATTCCAGACATTGCTTCTTCCTGCCCCCTAGCAGTGTCTGGCCTTGGGGATGATGTGCTGCACTATATAGGAGGTGGAAAGTTAGCTGGAGACGGGACTTGGTCAAACAGCTTCCCTGAATCAGCGGTGAAGCTGTGGTGGGACTCCACAGAGATGCAGCTGTCCTTGACTCAACCACGTTCCTGTAAGTAGCTCTTCTCCCAACTTCCTCCAGTTGACCTTAATCATTGCATGATTATACAAAGCTGGTTTGGACAGTTTTCTTTTTACAGTGTTATTTCCCCCATATATGAAGGGAATCCATATTTTTTAATACCTGACCCAGAGAAGGAAAGGATAAAGTAAGAAGTACTTTCTAATCATTTCTCTAGATAGCATCTATACAGCAACTCTTAGACCAGTGGTTCTTAGAGTTGTATGTCTACACAACACTGGATGACACATAAAGTTTTAGAACATGGAATAATAAATTTCACAAAAATCAGAATTTTAAACATTGAAACTTTTAACTGCAATGAAACCATACGAGCATATACGTAGAATTTCTAACAATTACAGAAGGAAAAAGTTGCATCCACTCATTACTGGGTTTCTGCTATGAGTTGCTTGACTGGAATGATGTATTCATATTTTATCCTGAGGACAAGTCAATGGCGATAACAAATATATATTTATACAGCATTAAAATTTCATTCAAGGCAAATACTCTTTCAGAATGCATAAAGCCTGAGCAAGTTTACACAAGAGCAAATATCAGAGCAGCAAGGGAACTGAACACACAATCCTCTACCCCTGAAGCCATAGGCAATTGTTGAGAGTGGAAAAGATAGTTTATTAAATGTGTATCCCCTCATAATTTGAACATGCTCTGGTATAAGACCGTACATCAAAGAATATTTGGTTAGCACAAATTGGTCTGAAATGTTTTGATTTTGTTTTTCTAATGACACAGAGTTGTATGAGTGAGGGAGTTGCATGGTACATGGGTCTGGGAAGAGTTGGGGGAATGTGAACTGAACATCAGAACTTACAAAAATTCTTAAAGAACAGAAAAGAGAGTATAATTGCTTATATTCCCTTTTGTTTACAAGCAAGATGGATTGTCAGTAAGGATAAATTGAATTTTATGAAATGGCAAAACAATATTATTAGCTTCTGTTAGGTTTTTAAAATCCTATAGATGATAAATGAGAGAGTGTGTATGTGCGTACCTGTGTGTGTGTGTGTCTGTGTCTGGGGTGTGTGTGTGGAGTGTGTGTGTGTGTGTGTCCATATGTATGTATATGTGTGTGTGTAACATTTTGTTTTACTTTTAAAAGGTGCCTGGCAATCTTGCATACTACAGAATATTTTTATTTATTATTTCCATGAATAAAAGTTATCAATTCCCTAATTTTCAGTTGCACATTTCCAAATCCATTTATCAAAGATTTTGTTTATCAGAAGTTTTTTTCAGACTAGTGTCACTAAAAGTAATAGAATTTTCTTTGCAATAAGTACATACTGATTTAGCGCATTGAAAGTGCAGAATATTGATATGTTCATCATTCAAAAGTAAATTGATGATGATACCAATCTTGGTCATTATAAAGAAAAATTTTAAAACTGTATGTTATACAAAATACGTAAATATTGAAAAAGGCGAAAATGTGACATTATGGTTCAGAATTATTCATTTCAGATTGTGGCATAACTCTACATTTTTAGTATTACTGAACAATTATGTGTTTGTTCCCATCTAACTCAAATATAAAGCTAATTCGCAGAGCTGCCCTTTTTACACTGGTGCCCCAAACTGATCAGACAAATTTAGATCCTGTCTCAGTGGTTTAGAGCTATAGCTGCTTTTGAACAAGACTTGTGTTTGGTTCTCAGCACTCCATGGCTACTCACAACTGTATGTAACTCTAATTCTCAGAAATTGCACGCCTTTGTCTGACATGTAACACTGCTATACATAAAATAAAAACCAATATATTTTCAAATGCTACAAACTCATAACATCTCTTATTACAGAAAATCATCAGCAATTCACTAGACATTAAATGGTTTGAACAGAAAGGCTTGAACAGCCTGCCTCGACTTAAATTAAGCTCCAAATGCTTTTAGAATACAGAACACTCTTGGGTGTAGTTTTAATAAATTGTAAAAAGGACATTCATGATTCAAAATAGAAATCTGAGAAAATATGATTACTTAGGTTAGTTTTCCCGTTGAATTACTCCTACAGTGTTCGAAACAGTTTTTTGGTAGGAGGCCACTTTGACCATATAAGGCTTCCCCATCGACAGGATCACTTTTCATAACCCCACATGAATATATCTCAGAGTGGCTCTTCTTCTTTAACAGGGACACTGCTCCTACTCCTGGTGTCCAACCAGCTTCTGTGGGAGAACGTGGCGTCTGTACCCATGTGCGCAATGAGGAATGGTCGCTGCTTTAATTCCTTGAGAGACATGTTTGATATAGCAGGCAGTCAATCTCATGAAATCAGCCAAAAAGTTTCAGAAACGTTCACTGAATTTGTAAGTACCCCCACTGACTTCTGGCTTCATAACAAATCAGGCCTCCATCACAAGGACTGTGATACAGCCTAGCCTAAAGGAAAGCACGCCATGGTCTAAATCTGAAACAGGCATTCCTTCTCAAAAGATAAGAAAAGAGCAGCTATTGAACTGTGGAGCAAGTAAGAGGACAGTTGCAAGAAATGCAGACTATTAACTGAAACACTACTACTTTAATGTTCATTTATTGTTTGGCTTTCATTTTAATTCTCTATTATGACATAAAGACACGCAAGGGATAACAAAAAAATATTTTTCGTTTCCGTTACCTAGTGGGCTATTCATCACTCCTATCACTTTATCCATTTACTTGTTTGTTTGTTTTATCTTTTACTGAGAATAGATATTTTTCTCACAAAATACACACTAATAGCCTGTTCATCTCCCTCTATTCCTCCTAGATCCACCCCATGTGCCCCACTCTGGGTCCACTCTCTTAATGTCTCTCATTAGGAAAAAACAGGCTCCTTAGGGAGAGCAAGAAAGTAAGATAAGATAAAAACAAAACTAATACATCGGAATTGGACTAAACAAACAAAGGAAAAGAAAAAGGCTCAAGAGGAGGCACAAAAACCAAAGACCATCTTACTCATACACTCAAGAATCCTATGAAACTGTAAACAATAATAGACACAAAGGGCCTGGTGCAGACCAGCACAGGCCCTGTGCACCCTACCTCAGTCTCTGATTTTATATGTGTTTAAATTATGTTGAGTTTAAATATGTTTAAATTATTTTCTTTTGAGAGGGGGTTTCTCTATACTTTTCGAGCCTGTCCTGAAACTAACTCTTGTAGACCAGACTGGCCTCGAACTCACAGAGATCTGCTGCGGGAGCTCCTTTCCGTATTTCCTTCCTCCCCACCTTCATCCCTTCCCCTCTCCGCCTGATTGTACTATTCTCGCCCCTCTGCTTCCACTGGACACTACAGCCTTGTAATAAAGGAAACTGCATTGCAGTGACTTGTAAGCATTCAATAGAGCTAAAGTCATTTGGGGAAAGTCGGCGAGAGCAAGAAAATTAATAATTGCTCATCAGATGCCCAAATGTTAGAAACTATTTTTAAAGAATTAAAAAATAGTTGATTTACTACCAAAGAGGTCTGGCATTTGCAGGGCAATTGGTTAGGTATTCATGATGAAGACACATTGAAGTTTGTATGTTAGATGTTCTACTCTCATCAATGAAGTCACAATCAGTGACATGTTTACATCAATGGGCTGTGAGAACTCAGCTCAATGTTTGCAAAGACTGGTGCTCCTATCAGGGTTTAAGCTTTATTTTGTCCTAACCAATACAATATTATTCTACATTCCTAATGAACTAGGTGAAATATTCTTGTGTAGGTGCCAAGGTATTTGCCAGGCATGTCATACATGGTGGCATTTGTTACAAATGGCACATGAAACAATAGTGATTTAGAGCATTGGTAGCTTTAGCCCCTGCTTCTCAAATCAGAACTTCTAGAAAGACTGTAAATAGTGAAGAGGATTTGGGACATTTGAAAGTTAGATGAATATGAACTGATAAAGCTTAAAGTGTAGTTAAAAGTATTCCCCGGGAATGAGCCCCCAAATTGGCTATGCAATGTAAAATTCATTATTCATGCACAGTTAACACTGTGAATGAGTTGAACAGACTCACTGGATTGAGTGTGTGTGTGTGTGTGTGTGTGTGTGTGTGTATGTGTGTGTGTAGATATAGCAATAATGATTTAAAATATATGCCAAGAATTAAGAAGGAGTAAGAGTGGGATGAGAGAAGGAGTTAGAAAGAGAGGACATGGGAGGGTTTGGAGACAAGAAAAGGAAGGGGAAAACGTAATTGTATTTTAATTCAAATGTTCTCAGAGCTCATTTATTTAATATATTAGTTTCAGTTTTATCACTTACTTTAAATGCATTAGCTTTCTGTTCATTTATTCTTTTCACAATTTCCAAGCTCAACTGAATATTTCACCAATTCCAGAAAAATCACTATGCTGAAGCCCACGGGTTCAATGACACAGTCCTCATCCACTGCCACACTTCTTCCCTCTCCATTCCAGAAAAGGACGCTATGAAAAAAGTGAGTCCTCACTTCCTGCATTTTTCAAAAAAAAAAATTTGAAACAATATGCTGTATTTATCATGCTTTAAGTTCTTAATAAGTATTGCAATAGGCATGATAATCGTATCTCTGGGAAAATGGAGACAGAATATGCTAGGAAAGGAAAAATATGTAGTACAGTTAAATATAGTGAAATCTGCCAAGTAATATTTTCACATAATTGTCCATGTTGAGAACCCTTTCCCATTACTCAGCAGTGAGACTCTTCATATTATTCTTTTGGGGTTTTTAAATTGTCATTGACCTTCAAGGATAAGAACGTATTGATTCAGGCTTAGTGGATGACAATACAGTTGTATTTATCATATGTTAGTAATGAACCCTGTATTTGCAGTTCTTTGTATTGCAAACCAGGTCACCCTCTCTTCTTGGCTTCTGAGTATCTTCTCTTTCAATTTCTGTTTCTGATCCTGCGTCCTAATCATCCTCACCTGTGTCATACCTAAAAGTCAGCTACAGAAAGGAGCAGAGTGTATACTGTGCAGTGGTGAGCAGTGTGTTACCATTCCACTGTATGATTGCAATGCTACACTCATGGCTGTTGTGATTTATTACTTTTTTAAATCTCCCACTTCCAACTTCCTATATAAACCATCACGATATGATGTAGATTAAATATTATCATATAGCCCTATATATCTGCACAGTTAGAGTATATCCTATTTGTTCTGCTTAATAGCTAAAATACATTCTGTGTCTCTATAATTCTTATTAAAATCATAGAGCAATTGTGAAGGAAAGTGGAAAAATCAAAGTGAAGAAAGAGATTATATTTCATGAGCGTTACTACAGAGAACCCTAATGGCATTTCTGAGTTTAATTTACTCTAAAATTCTATATCACAATGCCTCAATTTCTATAATTGGTATTACCTACAAAAGATTGTTTTAAATACATATTTGAACAGAAAAGGGGAAGTTTATCTCAGTCTTTTGAAGAAAAACTGTCTGTATCTAACTCTATTTTATTTTGATGATTCTAATGTAATTGTTCAAATGTCGTTACTTAGTATGACTTCTTACTGAAACGGGTGGGCACTCTTTTGAATGCCTGGGAAGAACCTCTGCGACACTTGGAGGAAGAACTATCTACCTTGAAAGGGGTCCCTGCTGGTGTTACCTCCAAAGTCAAAGACATCAAGGAAAATAGCTCGGGACTGCTGGTTGGCATCAAAACCCTTCTCAACGTGGTGAGCTGTTCTAACTTCTCTTTACTTTTCTTATCATAAATGAGGTGACAAAAGAAAGAATAATAAAATTTTGAAGCATTTTGACTTGTGAAAAATAAAAAAATTAAAAAAATAAAAATAAAAACAAACAAGCAAGTACTTTGGCATGCAGCTATCTAAAAGACACACTATTAAGCGAATGCTGGCAATTCCCACCTTCTATGGTGAGTTTTATTCAGATTCTCACATACTATGGTTCTCAGAAAGAAAAAAAAAACTGTTCCTCATTTTAATTTGAACAGTAGCATTTCTGGTTCAAAAGACAGACACAAAGACTTGAGTAGGTATTTTTAGCATCATCATCCCTTGACTATTTGCAAATTAAACCATCAAGTATAAAAATTCTTGCTTCTCAAGTTAAGGATATATACATTATACAAAGAATTGATTTGGCTGAAAAATAAAATATCAATATAATATAATATAATAACAAGAGAAATATATAGCATATAATAACAAGAGAAAAAAATCTATTTTCAATTTAAAAGAAAAAAGAACAATATTTTAATACCAGGACCCATTAAAACATAAAGAAGAATCAGGGACTGTTGAGGACTTGGAACATTCCTTAGGTGACATAATGGGCATTTATTCTCTCATTGTCCTCTTCTCAAATCCAAGTCTAAAATCAAATAACTTATCAACTGTCCATCCCTTAACTTTGTAAGATGTAATTGAGCAGATGGAAAAATAAAAAACAGAAACCAAAAAACGCAAACACCAAATTTGTATTTATCTTCTCCAACATCAATGACAATCCATATATTTGGGTGATTTTGACAATTCTAACAGTTTACAAATCTTTATTAAGTATTTAGATGGGATATGCACCAAAAATATTTAAATATAATTGATAGTTGATTATGTTTTTGGTAATCAGATTTATCCTAGAGATGCAGAAGCTGTGAACTTCCCTACCTTGCCTGAAGGGGCATCACTGAAGACAGAAAATGAAGATGTTCGCATTTTGGGTTATTATAACAAGCTCATCTGCCTAGATGGTGACTTTAAGAAGGTTGACATTTATCTCAACGTCATAAAGTGCAGGAATTTAAAAGTGAAAAATTGCTAAGTCTTCTTCCATCTGATCTGCTTCTGAAAGATGTAGCATCCTATAAACTTTTTATCTTTTGAATTTTGTTATCATTGTCTCATTTTAAAATAAAAAGTGGCAATATCACTTGCACCAGCCTAGTACCAAACACCACCCATATCAAGACATCTCTTTTCGTACTTATCCTTCCATCTAACCCTTAACCTGACCCTCAAATTACCATCTCCACCTGCCCCTCTAATCTACAAGAATGACCAGAGCCAAGACTCTGAGCAATAGAGGGTAGGTAGCTTGAACTTGCCCACTCCAGAAATCAGACTGGTGATTACCCCAATTATGATGAGGGAACCAGTGACTAATAGAAACAGATGCACAGATCCACAGCCAAGCACTGAGCCCTGGGTTAGGAAATCCTGTTGAAGAGGGGAAGAAAGGATTATAAGAGCCATGGGGGTCAAGTCTATCCCAAGAAAACCCACAGAAGCAGCTATCCTGGTCTCAAAGCTCATAGTCTGGATTGACAGCTAGGGATCCTGCATGGAACCAGCTTAGGCCCTCTATGTATGTTACAATTGTTTGGCTTGGTCTATTTGTGGGACACCTAACAGTGGGATCAGTGTCTGTCCCTAACACTTTGACTGACTTTTTGGACCCTATTTCTCATGCTGGGTTGCCTTGCCCAGCTTTTATGCGAAAGGAGGAGCTTAGTCCTATCACAAGTTGATATGTTATGCTTTATTTGACACCCATGGGAATTCTTCCCCTTTCAGAACAGAAGCAGAGGTAGAGTGGATTTGAGGGTCCGTGGGGAAGTTGGGCGGAGGAAATGGGAGGAGAGAAGAAAGAGAAACTGTGCTCAGAATGCAAAATAAAATAAACAAATTTAGTTAAAAAAATAAAAAGTGGCTCCATTAATGTAAAAGTCTTAATGGTGAATTGGTCAAAATTTCTATTAATGATTTAATGTAACATCTATCCATACTTTGAACATGTTTCAACCAAGTATTTTGCAAGTAATGAAAGTTAGATATGCAACCAACACACACAATTCATAATAAATTAATAATTGGGAAATTCTATTGTTTGTGAAATTGGTAGAATAAAAAACTAGTGTATTTAGGAATCTTCGTGGTGAACCTATAAAACTTGGAATATTTGGGATCATTAATGAGAGCCAGACTCTACTGATCACACAACCTGCAGAGTTCTGGAAGACAATAGGATAGTGATGGATGTGCACCATTTCAAGAACTGCAAATTCTTCAAAAAGTTTAAAATGTCTCAGAACACAACATTACAGTGGTTCTTGAGTTCTTAAAAAGTTTCCTCAAACATGATCCTCTGAATTCTTATTTCCCTAGCACATATATCACATCTTCATCAGCTTGAGTAGACCAAGAGTTCTTTGCACTGTCCTTACCTTTTCAAATTCACATTATTTAGTTTCCCCTCTCATATTCTGTTGGGTGAAATCACATGGTACATAATGAAATATAAAGAGTTCCCATGATGTCTTTAGCCCTTCCTTCCTAAATTTCCACTCTTTGCCTTTTAGAGAATTAAATATAGAATTAGAAGACAAAAAGTTATAAACTCATTGACTTGCGATTTTAATGATTTATTTCTGGTTATGGTTATTTTCTACCACTTAAAGACATTCTTTACATTTATACACAGGTACAAACCAAATAAATTTATATAGAAATTAGTTAAGTGTTTCTTATTCTCAATGGAATTTTCTAAAACTATAAACAAGAAAGAACATATATTATTTGAAGGAAAATGGAGTTGCAAACAACCACGTGATTTATTTAACTGCACCAATGAAAACAAATGTTACATGTGTTTTCTCATACTTAGGAGCCTAAATTTCATAAAGATACATAAAATCCTATATCTGTTCATAGCATAACATGTGAAAGGAAAAAATAAAATCTCTAGTGAAACAAAATGAGCTAACATGACAAGGGAGAGATATATTGTGATATGGGATTGAATGTATCCAAATGTACATTTATTTACTTTATTAAAATGGCTTTATATAAACCAGTAAAATTCACACAAAATGTAAATTTTAAAATCCTAATCTTGAGGAAGTCATAGCTAAGAACACTGAATAACCTTTGAGGGCTCAGATGTAACTGCATCTCTTGGCTGTCATTTGATACACCTTAGGTCCTTCCTTCTACTATTAATATAGGTTATATTCTCAAATCTAATGATTCATAGTTCAGAACCGAAAAGAAGAGATAACACGTAGTCTTACTCTTACTGGGTCTACATTGCCTTACTCTGTAAAATATATTATATTTCCTTCCATTCACATGCATATTTCACTGTTCTCCTTTATAGTTCAACACAACTGTTTTGTTTATAAGTGTCCAATTTTGATTACACATTCATCAGTTGCTTCCATTTCCTAGCTATTGTGAAATCTACATCGATAAATATAATTAAGAATCTCTGTAGAGAGTACTAAGTCAGCTATTAAATGTAAATGATGTTTTTCAATTGACTTAGTGGTTGCACATGAATGTAGTGATATTTTAATTATTGTCTACAGCCACATGACCCTGCAATCAATGCCCCCCATCCACTCAGGCTGTGTCCTAAGGACATTCTGGTCTGTGGCCCCATCTCGGTCATGACTGTTATATGTATGCTTGAACTAAGTCTCTATCATTTTATTTACCAACAAATACTCAGAAGTCAGATGGGGGAGTAAAAATCTGTTAGATCAGAAAAGGCAGGAAGCAACCAGCTGACTTTTCTTTTTCACCAGAGATCCAGAAAGACACGTGACTATTCACTTGTCTCAAAATCAAAAGGCAGTGCCAAGCTCAAGTCCCCACACATTCTTTCCTGTGCATCTCGTCGATCCAAATGGTTGGCTTCTTTATGGCTAATTTGGGTAAGCTAGCTGGTAGTTCTCCCTACTGAGTCAATGTAAACTTTATTGACAGTCTGCAGTGTCACAGTGTGATTGAAATGTCACACAAGATGTAAAGGAATCATACAGGTGGGTCATTTGGTAGTTTACTTGTACTTATTTCCATAATGATTTCAGCAATTTTCAATCCTACCATTCTCTGAATCCTAACCAACATTCATCCTCAGTTATCTCTTATATCTTGGCTATTCTGACTGGGGTAACATGAAGTCTGAAATTAGTTTTAACTTACATGTATCTGATGACTACCAAGAAACATTTTAGATATTTATTGGCATTTTTATTTCACCTTTTGGGAATGCTGTGCAGATCCATAGCACATTTTAATAGGGTTATTTTTCTCTTGATTCTTTTTTACCAGTTCCTTAAATATTATGGACATTAGTTCTCTATCTGATGTATAATTGAATTCTGGTTTTTTGAGACTCATTCTCCCTGGAGAGATACCCTGCTCGGCCTTGGTCCTGCCTCAAAGCAATGTGATAGACTTTGGTGCCTCCCATGGGAAGCCATACCCTCTCTGAGGAGTGGGTGTGGGGTGGGATGAGGTTGGAAAAAGAAACGGGGAGTGCCCAGGAGGAGAGGAGGGAGTGGGAAATGGATTTGGCATGTAAAATTAGAAATAACATTTTAATAAGTTAAAGTTTTAAAAAGTCGATGCCCATTATAAATGAAGCCCTTGAATATGTTCGGCAAGGTGTTTGAGGGTCCACTATAGCTACCCCATAGCATGTGTTTGATGGCACCAGGTCAGTGTCTGAATAATCCATAATAAAACTGTAGTCACATATAAGAAATCATGGAAAGATCTCATTGCTTGTTTAACTTGCTTTTTACAAGGAACAACTTTGGAAACAAATAACTATATAGGAGTTTCTACCTTATTTAGTGCTTTGTAATATATTAATTTTGGTAACTATTCATTATAATAGTGACAGTAGCAGGAGGCTGCTTGTTTGTCCTGGCTGCCTAGCTAGCTTAGCCCTGAAATAACCACACAGAAACTGTATTCATTAAATCACTGCTTGTCCCATTAGCTCTAACTTCTTATTGGCTAACTCTTATATTAATTTAATCCATTTCTATTAATCTGTATATTGTCACATAGCAGTGGCTTACCAGCAAAGATTCAGCATGTCTTACTTTGGCGGCGGCTCCATGACCATTCTTTGACTCTGCCTCCTTTCTCTCAGCATGTCATTTAGTTTTTCCCACCGAGCTTTGTTCCCCTACAGTTCTGCTATAGGCCCAAAGCAGTTCCTTTATTAAAAAATGAAAGCAACACATAGACAGAAGGACCTCATACACCATGTTCCCTTTTCTGTTTAAACAGAAAGGAATGACCTGGACAAACACAATACCTTAATTAAGATCAGAAGTATATATACACAGTATAACAAAATTGACCTGAAATTTGCATCAATAAATCAAGATACATACCCATGCAAACCTCTATAGCATAACCCCTTTCAATGTAAAAGAATATTTATAAACAATACTTAGGAATATGGGCACAGTTCTGTCCAAATTTCTTCCTGCTGTTTATTGAGTGAAGCATTTTTTGTGGGGGTGTTCACAGCAACCTTTCAAGGTATCTTGTTCCATAAAACCATATTGATGTGGAAGCAATCCACAAGTCCTCATCTTCTGTAGAAACAAAGAAGAACCTCTTTTCCAAAGCAACAAGCCCCAAATTCAGAAGTCAAGATACCTTTATAAATGTACATACTGGCTTATCTTGGCAGCCCATACAATGAGATATCTCTCTGTATCTCTCCTTCACAGTCAAAAAATTCAAAGATAACATAATAATATACATAATCCAGACTGTGAATTTTCCATTTTTACATGGCTTATTTTTCTTTACTCCTTTTTAATCTATTACTATGTTTACTGTTTCTTTAAAGACTTTACCTTTTTAAAGCATTAACTTTATTTTATGACTCTCTATACTCTTTTTCTTCTCTCGTCCAAGCCTACGTACATTTATCCAACACTATGACTCATTTAGAGCTCTTTTCCATCTGAATTTATCTTTATTGTGTATCTGTAATTATTTTTTGAACAG